AGTACTTACGCGGGAAGAAGACGGCCAACAGACGCCGGTTTACTATATGAGTAAGTCGTTAAATGGGCCGGAAACCAGGTACGCACTCTTAGAGAAATTAGTACTTGCACTAGTGACAGCATCAATTAAATTACGTCCTTACTTTGAATCGCATTCTATTTGTGTCCGCACTAACTATCCCATGAAGTCTATCATGAGGAAACCGGAACTCACAGGTAGGATGATCAAGTGGTCTATGCAACTGGGGGCATACAACATCAAGTATGAACCCAGGACAGCTTTGAAATCACAAGCTCTAGCTGATTTTGTGGCGGACTTCAGTCCAAAACTACAAGTAGAAGCAGAAAGAGAGATATGTTTGTTAATTGGAGACCAACGTCAACAAAAATGGACTCTGCACACCGATGGAGCCTCTAACATGCATGGGGCCGGACTTGGAGTTGTACTGCAGTCGCCACAAGGGGGCAATATAGTACAAGCTGTCAGATGTGATTTCAACGCAACAAACAACGAAGCGGAGTATGAAGCACTAATTTTCGGGCTGAACTTAGCTCAAAACATGGGCATAAAAGCAATCGAGGTAAAATGCGACTCCCTTTTAATTATTAATCAAGCCAACGGAGTTTATGCAGCTAAAGATCCAAAGATGTCGGCATACCTACAAATCGTCACCAACTTAGCCAACACCTTTGACGACATCACCTTTGAGCAAATCCCAAGAGAAGAAAACGTCCAAGCCGACGCCTTAGCAGCAATCGGATCATGTCTGGGGGCAGGAAACATTGATAACATACCACTTGTCCACGTGATAGAACCAGCCATTGAAAGGACGGAAGTGGTCAACATCATTGAGTCAACCGCAGACAACGACTGGATGCAGCCATACATAGATTACCTAAAACACAACATCTTGCCAAATGACAAAAGAGAAGCAAGGGCACTCCTGTCAAAGGTAACAAAGTTTTTATTAATTGATGATGTTTTGTTTAAACGTTCGAAGGCAGGACCATATCAGAGATGTTTAGCCCCACACGAAGCTGTCAAAGTACTGAGAAGTCTCCATGAAGGAGAATGTGGCAACCACGCAGCAGGAAGGAGTTTATCAAACAAAGCCTTGAGATTTGGCTATTATTGGCCAACGATGAGACATGACGCCATTGCATACACTCAAGCTTGTCAACCGTGCCAAAAGCATGCACCAGTGCAACACCAACATGCAGAAGCACTGCATCCTGTCTTATCTCCATGGCCCTTCATGAAGTGGGAGATGGACATTGTAGGTAAGCTGCCCGAAGCACCCGGACAAAAGGTCTACATGTTGGCAATGACTGACTACTTCTCAAAGTGGATTGAAGCTGAACCTTTCCGACAAATCCGTGACACTCAGGTAATATCTTTTATCAAAAGAAATATTTTGAGCAGGTTTGGCATCCCGTCCGAGATCGTCTGCGACAATGGGTCACAGTTCATAAGCATCAAAACCAGACGATTCTGTGAAAAGTACAACATCAAACTGGAGATGTCGACACCACGCTATCCACAATCAAATGGACAAGCTGAGTCAAGCAACAAGATCATCATCTCGAATCTAAAGAAGCGGTTGGAGAAAGCACAAGGAAAGTGGGCCGACGAGTTACCACTCATATTATGGGCAGACCGGACAACACCAAAAAATGCCACAGGACAAACGCCTTTTTCGTTGGTGTACGGATGCGAAGCTGTCATTCCAGTCGAAGTGCCAACATCCAGGTACGGACTTATCACAGAAGAAGCAAACAACGCAGAATTGGTTCACGATCTTGACACTATCGACGAATTGAGAGAAAGAGCTAAAGTACAAATGGCAGCATACCAACAAAGGGTAGCAAGAAGCTATAACAAAGATGTCCGAGCCAAAGTATTCAAGAAAGGCGATTGGGTACTCAGAAAGTCCTTTGGCAACGAAGCAAGTGGAAAATTTAGTCCCAACTGGGAAGGCCCATACCAGATTACAGATGTCGTCGTGCAGGGGGCATACCGTCTGACAAGCATTGACGGTAAACAAGTTCTAAGGAGCTGGAATGCGGTACACCTAAAGCCTTTCCACTTCTAATATAATTATCTACTTCAGTATTCATCTTATGTTTTTTGAATCTCTTACTAACTTGACCGTCGAAGGGCCGTTGGCCTCAAGCCAACGGCCAACAAAGTATTTGACTGAGTCACAGATTGACAACATCAAGCTAAATCCTATATGACAATATCATATAGACTTCTGATGACGACATTAAGTCAGCTGAATTAAGGTACTCGACAATAGTTTGCTCTTATTTTATTTCAATGTCATCTTAATCTACTCACCCGCCTTGACAAACGAAAATACATCTGACTCCTTAGAGATAATACACACCTACAATCAATGTAAAAGTATTAGACTATTTTACTTTAGCATCGGAGGGCCGTTGGCTTCAAGCCAACGGCCAGGCCCCAGCTACGTGTCTGATTAGGTTGCAGACTAAAGGCGTCAAACCATTTACTGATAGACAACATGAAACTGAGTGATGAATGACGACATCAAACTGAAGGTTAGACGACGACATCATTTAACTTCAAGTCAACCGAGATCGCCTAATCAGAACAGGAAAGTAAATAAAGAAGCAAAGGATCAGGACACTATCAGGGTATGCAACAGCAATTTACTTTCCCCTCACTTTAATATTTTCTTCATTTATTCACTTTGACAAGTGCAAAATTACTTTTGAAACATTAAGTTGAAATGACGTGAATTTGACTAAGTAGTTTCGCAATGTTGAGGACTAATTTTTTATACATACCTATTCACAATTACTGACTTTAGCATCGGAGGGCCGTTGGCTTCAAGCCAACGGCCAGATCCTGACAACATGATTAAGTGCAGGCTTAAGCATAAGGACAACACTAATGGTTGAAAACATCAATCAAGCCACGTAAGTTTCTCATAACACAAGCCCTTAAATACATCACTAAGGGACATCAGGGATTGCATGGACTCGTCATATGAAAAATATGAGTACCGAATCCATACACCCTGCACATTTTGGCCAAAACAACAGACAGATCATACATCACAAATGCTGACAACATCAAAGTCAGACAAACACAAAGCAACAACAGTACACGTACAAATGACATCGTCATGTGGAACAACAACCACATCCAAAACTACAAAAATACGCAACAGAAGCGTGACAACATTAGCTCCAATAAGGAGACACTACGAACGACATGGATACAAATCATAAACACATGTTGACAATATTGATAAAATTACAAATGAAACGTTATTCAAAGTTTTTGCAGGTTATGGACTATGTTCACACAACACAACTCGTCATCTTTAACGACGGATGATGTTCCCTTTGCCAGCTGAGGTGTCGACATCGACATGATGCTGTTACAAATTTCTGTCATCTAACCGTCAACACAATGCTGGAGGGAAAGCATTTAAGTTAGACAAGTTGATCAATATGTGACGATGCAATGGACCAAGATGTGAAGTGTACTTCCAAATTTTCGACAAGTTGTTGCTGAAACAAGTCGACGGACGTGTGCATCATTCGCCCCAACTTCTCGAAAAGGGGGCAATTGTTGGTACACGGATTTGATAGCCTTGACTACATTCAAAAATGGTTGACCGTGGCAATCAATGACGCATTCATTGGGATTAATGCTAGCTAATTAAATCTGGGCAGTTTTATGTATATAATTAGAGTAGTTATTGTAATTATGACATAGGTTACTCAAAAGGCTGGCCAGAATTGATGATGCAATAATGACGATATTGATGTCGTCGTAACGGTCGGACATGTCGTCGTAACGGTCGGATCATGTCGTCAACGGACAAAAGTGCATTAAATGTATCTCTTATAAATATCTAGAGGCTCTATGTAATCAGCACATTCAGTGACGAATACACATACACTCAGTCTCTACATTGTAATTCAAAAGCATATTGTGAAGATCCTTCTCCTTGATCATCATATATCAAATTCCTTTCTTTACCAATTCTTCCATAGTTGATTCTATATTGCTTGATTCCCATTTTTTACTCCGTTCTAGGATAAATTATTTCTTGTTTAAACACCTATCACCAACTAACCTCCAACAACTACGACTGTAAACCCTATGATCAGATTTAGAGACGGTCACCCCTGAAAGAGCAACACAAATCGCTAACCATGCAGCGGGTTTGCCACAACCATCCATGTTCCCATAGATCCAAACATATCCAATGACATAAAAAAGGCTAAATTCCCAATGACATAGACGATAACAAGAAACCAAATGACAAAATAACAATAACTAATAGGAGAACTTTCACGGACCTTGACACCTCGACCAACTCATGTCGGTGGTTCAGGAGGAGGTCGTACCATCGGTACCACTCTAATTGATCCTCCATTGTCGATTAAAATCTGTCCTAGACAAACCCTTGCAACTCTCCACGTCCCGCACTCGTAGCAACGCCCCTAGCGGACATCTTCTTCGATGTCAAGCCCTGTGATGCATTCATCTTTCCTTGCTGCCCTGCCTTGTTGCTTTGCGGCGCCCGAAACAAAATCCTCGTGGCCTCTGACTAATCCTCTCTCGTTAATCTTCCTCCACGAATGGTCAAAAGAAATCCTCCGTCGAGTTGAATAGCAGAAGAACCGAACAGCAGAATCTCCGTCGATCTCTGTCTTCGTGTTGAACAGCAAGATCCCTCCGTCGATTTCCGCCTTCCGCAATCCCAAACAAAGCAACCACGTACCAACACCAATTTCTCACCGCAATAGTAGCGAAGCAACCACGGCCGTTCTTCGTCCTCGATGAAAACGGAAGAAAAAACTCCAGCGGTGTAAAGCCCTAGAGAGAAAAATAAATGGCGCACCAAAATTAACTAACTATATATAATATTTAAAAATTATGTTTAGACTTTTTGTAATGTATTTCTTTTCCCTGAACACAAGATGTCACATTTGACATTACGCAAGACTAGCTAAATTGTATAGATTTCATCAGAAACACAAGACTTGCCGACGTTGGGCAAAATTGATCAATTGTGTCCAAACGCCACATTAAACCGCCGTTAACTTGGCCACGTCTACTCCGGGTCTAGTTTTGACAAGCGACGCAAATAAGAAAAGAAAGAACATTTCAATTCCTTGAATTTAGAAACCAGACCAACTCTGCTCCACCGGCCACCGACGGACTCTTCTCTACTCTTCGCCGCCGGCCAGCGGAATGAAGCAGAGGACTTGGCCGGCGAAATTCGACAGCCCTCGCTTCTTCGCGCTCCCTTTGGTCAAGAAACAGACCACCCGCCCCCAGCCGCATTCTTCCTCCAAAATAAAGCCGCCGTTCTCCGATCCCCACACCGACCATCTCTGCGGCCAAGACTACTCTCAGCTCCCCAATGACGTCTTGCTTAAAATCGCGGCGACTTTTTCGTGGACCTACCTGCGCACAGCTTCGCTGGCCTGCAAGTCGTGGAGCGACGCGCTTCGCCCGCTAAGGGAGGCTATGCTTTTTCTCAGCTGGGGGAAGCGATTCAAGCATGGCCGTGGTGGGGTCAAGCCCAACTTGGCCAAGGCACTCGATTGCTTCCTCAAAGGGGCGGCGCGTGGGTCTACTCTGGCCATGGTGGATGCTGGGCTTTTGTATTGGGAGATGGGGAGGAAGGATGAAGGAGTAGCTTGGTATAGAAAGGCAGCCATGCTAGGCGACCCTACTGGTCAGTGCAATTTGGGGATTTGTTTATTGCAAGGTATTGAAGCTTAACTCTTATACTCAACCCAAAAGTTCATTGTATAGAAATGTGAAGTCCAACATTTTTTTGTTTCCTCTCTTGTTGTAATGAAAAAGGCAGGAGCTTTAGAGTACATGCTAGAGGTATAGGCTTTATTAGTAGAGCATTTTGGGTGTAAAATATACTATCTCCTTCCCAAATTGGTTTTCCAGTCATAATTTATTGACGGGTTATAAAGATGGCTCTCCCAAAATTTGTTAATAATTTATTTATTATAAAAATTTGATACAGAAAATCAGAGAATAAAAGAGTTATGCGGATTGCATGAATAGTGAAAGTGATTAGTTTTAAGTGACAACACAATTGGGATGGAGGGAGTATCACTCTATCATTTTTGTGGGAAATCATTGGGCTTACAGAGCCATATAATGGCCTTATCATATCCTATCATTCATTGGAAGCGGTTTTTTTAAGAAGAAGCAACTTGATTGCAATGAGATAGATCTTGAAACATTGAAATTTATCAGACGGTAATCAATTGGCTTGCAGAGGCATCCATGTAATGGCATGATCACAGAATATGGTTCAAAAATCAGATAGCAATATGTTGATAGAAAGCTGCATGCTCTATCTGTAGTCTATGTGTGTGTGTGTGTAGTTGTAGCACCATTCAATGTTTAGGGATATAATAACTTCCTATCTGGTTTATAGGTGAGTCTCCAAACGCAGAAGAGGCTGTTAAGTGGCTGCATAAAGCTTCTATTGCTGGCCATGTTCGTGCTCAATACCAAAGTGCACTGTGTTTCCATCAGGGCCGCGGTGTGATTAAGAATTTTCAGGAAGCGGTACTACACTTAAGTCTGAAGTTTAAATGCAGTCGTTAATTTCTACCCGATGGTGCATTATTAGGACAGAAGGGAAGCCTTGGCGCACGGGTTATGGTGTTTTTGTATGATCGAGAAGTCACGGGTTCAAGTCTTGGGAGCAGCCTCTGTCAAAATGACAAGGAAAACTTGCTCTTCATACACCCTTGTGGCGGGATCTTTTCCCGGACCCTCACCTTGCGGGAACACCAATGTGCACCAGGCTGCCCTTAGTGCATTCTTAGGAGACTTAATAATTGAATCAACTAGTGATTCGAATCACCAATTAGAGGGGTAACTCTCATCCATTTTATTTTTATTTAAATATTCTGTTGTCCCATTAAACCATTTTGTGTATAGGTCCCTCTAATTTATGTTGTTTACCATCCTTGCAATTTACGTTTCTTTCTTTTCGGTTCCTTTCCAATTCTCTGTCATACTCCATTTAAAACAAAAAATGATGTGGTTCATAGAAGTCTTTCTATCTTTTCTAAGTCAACTTTATACACCTTTTCATAGACTATGTGGAGAAGAGCTAAGTGAAACTCACCATTTCACTCTCAAGATACGCCTCTATGGCTCTATGGGGATTAAGTTTAGTATTTTTGAAATTGCAATAATGGAAAAGCGGGACTGAAGCTTCGTGAGCCAAACCATTTTTTTAAACAGAGGTCAGTGGAGAGTTGGAGAAGGGCTAACCGAATAAACAGAAAGCAATGTAAAATGTTTATAGGTTCTATAAACATGTCTAAGCTATTTTTTATGTTTTATCTCCTAAATGTTTATACAAAATATTACTACCTCCGTCCCATTTTATGTGTCTCCTTTTGTTTTGGCACAGTTTTTAATAAATTAATTGAAAAAGTAAAAGTTGTGGTTGAGATTTGAGTATAGTAAAGTGAAATGTTGTGAACCACATATTTCTTTCCAAAAAGGGAAATGTGACACTTATTTTGGGACAACCCAAAAAGGAAAGTAAGACAGGTAAAATGGGACGGAGGGAGTATTTATATGAGAAATAGAAACCGCTGCTCCATTGTTTTAGTATTTGTTTGCAATCCTCAATTGCATTTGGAATAGTAATTGAAGCTGAAGTTTTTGCAATTTCTCTCTATTTATATGCAAAGAGAAAAACTAACAGATCAAAATTTTATTCCTCTTCAGTAAAAAACAAAAAAGAGTGTTCTTTTTGTCTGACTTTCCAGATTATGTCTTTATTTCTTTAATGGTCTTTGCGCGACTTTGACAGGCAAAGTGGTATCTGAAAGCTGCTGAAGGTGGATATGTACGTGCTATGTATAACACTTCATTATGCTACTCTTTTGGAGAAGGTTTGGTGCAGTCTCATCGATTAGGCAGAAAATGGATGAAGAGGGCAGCCGACCGGGGCCACAGTAAAGCTCAATTTGACCATGGATTAAGTCTTTTTTCTGTAAGTTGCCGAGTCATGTTTTTATTGCTATCTTACCCCCCACCCACGATTCAACTGTTGGTCCTCTTACAATTGATGCACCCACATACATACATGCACAATGTCTTTAGGTGGTGTTGGGTTCACAAAATTTGATATTGTATTAGGTAATATCATAATAGTGGTGTAGCCTGAAAAAATATTAACGAGTGCCAAAAATTTCTCAGTGAAAAAACTTCTGGAGGTAGTAAAAATGAATGGAAGTATACAATATACTACATTGTGAATCAATGAAAAACTTGGAATTATCCAAAATGTGGGAGTATATTGTCATTGATGTGGTGTAAATGTTGTGTTTTACTACAGGAAGGGGATATGGAGAAAGCTGTCCTGTACTTGGAACTTGCAACACGTGCGGGTGAGACGGCTGCAGATCATGTGAAGAATGTTATACTCCAACAACTTTCTCCATCTTCTCGCAATCAAGCCATGATCCTTATCAACAATTGGCGTCCTTTACCTTCGTCTCGTTAACTCACACACTCTTTTGGTAGACCTCTTTCTTGAAAAAGAAACCTTGGACAGTTAGACAGACCCCCCCCCCCCCCCCAAAAAAAAAAAAAAAAAGCTATCCTTTCTCCTAAGCTTTTGGTGTTCCTCTTTTTGGATCCGGTTTGTCTGCCAAGCTTTATAAGCCATCAGATGCAGCAGAGTACATGTCACCACCCCTGCTTCCTTGTTCTTGCTGCCATCGGATCTACACCAGGCAGATCCCCTCTTTTTAGCCTCGTCCCATGTAAAATAATCTTTTTTATGTTCTCAAAATGTAAAATGAAAGGCCTTTCTTTTTTGTACTAAGAAAAGACTGAAATAAAATTTGGAGATAGATGGACTGTATTTCTTTTTAAAACAATTTGTGACCAATTTGTTAGCAAGTCTTGTCATTTTATTAATGAAACAGACAATGCATGACTGATAATGTTTTAATTTTTTATTTAAAATATTTTAAATGATCGTTAAAAAAAACTGCTTTTTTTTTAAAATCGTTGATACTTCTGATGATATTGTTATGCACATTCATGTGGATTAGCCAGTTAGCCTCATCAATAGGTTAGTCTACTTCTTTGGGGGCAGCCGGGCAGGAGACTAACCAACTAACCAAGTAACCATGTAAAGGCACTAAGGCAGTAAAGATGGACGGATTATTGTCAGGCTAATCGCAGTAGATTTGTCCCCAAAGGCATCCCCATACATTGAAACCATGAAATAATACTTTATAATCATACCTGATACTTATAAACTAGTCTAAACCAATCTGGTATACTTCATAAGTAACATAATCAGAAACTTCAAGACCAATATATTTTCTAAAACATTCGAATTGCCTAACAGGATCACCCAACAGATATCATTTTAAGAAATAAAACAAAAAATCGGAGTACTTAAAAATCAACCAAGTATTGTAGATATTATTAGACACAAGAAACAAGCGTATAGACAAATGAAACAATGGATCTTTTCCTTGAATGAATCAAAGCTTTGCGACCAAGGATGGCGGATGACACGGCTTTGTCGCCACCCCATTTTCCTTTGGATCTGGTTCAGCTGAGCTTGGCGGAACATCTACTGCTGGAGACGAATTAAAGAATCCATGTGGCTGCAATTTAGTATGGATATATATACACATCAGCATTTTCTTGTAAACAGGGAAAATGTGGTTCTGATCAATTTATAGAAAACAATAGGCTCGAGAGTAGAAGAATACCATGAGCATGAAACCAATGTGCTCCACAGGCATGACCGGCCAGTCTTCCAGCCGAGGAACATGTGTTATTCCAAATACGTACCTGCAAGTTTTTGAGAAATTTAAAACCCACATTCAGTAACTTTAATATATGTAGGATGCATTGTATATAAGCCAATGGAATGTAAACCATGAAACAAGTTAATTTTATGAGCAGAGAACCACTTGTTTATTGCATTTAAGTGCAGAAAGCCAGCCACACTAACCAGAGAACGATGTCAGTTTCTTCCAGAGACCGGTTTTGTTTAACCCAAGAAGCCAATCCCTCTCCGACACGAGGATTCTGGTTAGGAAACTCTCCTCCAGGAAACATCTCATCACTTGCATAAGGTGTGACCCAAAGATTGTGTTTTAGGAAAGCAGCTCTTCTCATAAACTTTGCCTCTGCACCAGCTAATGGCAAACAGTTTGAGCCAGGCACAAGCTTGTACCCTGTTAACTGTCCAGTGCGGTTTACAGTTCTTGTGTTCTTGATCTGATTGTTGCAACCCATCACAAAAAAACACGAGAGAGAAAAATTATAACTTCGAATAATGAACACATCTTTTACATGAGTTTATACCACCCAGATATGCTTTTACTCAACTTGATCCTTGACTACGCAATTTAGGCTCACTTTGTTAGCAGACATGGTTCGCTCTAATTATGAAGGGTATTTTGTATGTTTCGTGCTTAATAGGATCCAATCGTCCAAATTACATAGATGAGGAGCAAACCGAGTCCTAAATTTGGTTTCAATTTAGTGAATTGCTAAAAATACCCATATTAGTTCACCTTGCATAGTCTAGGACTAAATCGAGTCCCAAAAAAGTGAGGACCAAATTGAGTGGATAGTGAATAGTTGAGGGGCTAAACTGGATATTAACTCTCATTACATCACAAATCCATATATAGTAGGTATTAAAGAGTAAGAAGTCTTACAATCCAGTGGCGAGCAGATAAAGGGTTACAGTCACGCATGGCTTCCAGTTCAGTTTTGAGCAATCTCTCCTCCGCATAAAATGCATTGTTATGAACATTATTTTCTCCCGGCTCTTCAACTTTAACATTTAGCTCAACCACCTACAGAGGGACAAGGACTGCTTTAATTGATAGTAGCATAGAATATATTCCAATTTTTCTCCCATTGCTAACAAGTCATTTTGAGTTTTGGTCCCGGACTTTTATTGTTTCCCTTTTTGGTGCAAGACTATGTATAACTTTGAGACTATATTGATCACTTGTGCGGTGAAACAAACTAAAAATTGGCAGGAGAAGTGACCGAAAGGACTAACATTTTCAAGAAATTAATAGTAGCTAACCAATAGCTGTTGACTGCAAATGGGATATTTTCAGTATAACACTAACCAAATCAATAATACATATTTCACACAATTTTGTCTGTGGTCCTTTACAGACATTTGTGTCACTGTGTCAGTAGTGACAAGCATAACTCACAATATTCAGTTTTCTATATTTTAAATTAACTACTACGTATATAACAAGAATGAAGAAAACAAAAGATGAGTTTTAAAGATCAGAACATTGACATTTGCTTCTGGAGTTTGGAGTGGACAGTGGAGAGAGACACACAAACCTGGTTATGTGCTTCTCCAGGCTTGCAATCAACAGCCATGTCCATGCGAGCCACAAAGAAGTGTTGATGAACGGGTGCATATAAACCGGGTGCTATTGTTGTCCCAAACTTTCTTACTTCACCGGGCTGCAAAGCCCCTAGACTGAGAATACCGGTAAGCTTAACCTCAGCTTCAATTTTTCCATCCTGTGGTGAGAAGTAAGTCTTTGAAATATGAACCAAAATATCCAAGTGAGAATAACTTGCCTGATAAGAACTCAAATAACTTGCCTGATAAAAATGCCAGAAGAAACCATATTCATAGTTAGCCACAGTACATATGAAAGAGACAGTGAGTCGTCTTGAACGCCTTACTTCAGCTAAGCCAGTTCGCCAGTCTTGATGCTTCCATAAGATTCCATGATCCTCCTCGTGCATGCAAACACAATTTTCAATTGTTTCAACGCCTCCTGTAAAATTTGTGAAATGTGCATCGAAGTACTTGATGAAGCCTAAACAATCACATCCCTGCAACAAAAGAAAAACTTTTCAAGTAACTAGCATTATATGGTCAAGCACAGTAAACATGCTACAAAATAGTGCTCATTTGGCATAAAACTTTTTCCCACTTATCATCCCCAGAATCTTCACAAAAATGTGATCAATTTGAATGCGCTAACTGAATAAGCTTAAAAATGAAAAAATAGTGCATAAGTTACTTTATCGCTGATATTAAATTAAGCGGCATTTTTTAAATTCATTTCTAGATAATCATTTCTTCAATTTCTTTAAGAAATTAATCGTTAATAGATAATTCAATCACATTTTCATCAAACTTGGCATCTTCTGCCAATTCATTCATTTTAGACTTTTACCAAACAGGCTCATAATTATCTATAAATGGCAGTAGGATGTACTAGAGACCTTTTTTAGCGAGTGTGCATTTTTACCAAGACCATCTTCCCCTGCATCAAATGCATTTTTTCTGTAGTGTGGATCGTTTGGATCCCCATAAGGAACAACCATCTCCACGAAGCTCAGCCTGTGAGCTACAGGCCTTCGGCCTCTACTACCATCAACATATGCAACTGAGTAGATAACTAAACCTTCTCTGGGGGTGAAGCCAATACGGAAGTTCCACTGACAAAAAAACAGATTTGAATTACAGAAAAATCCATCTGCATATTGCAGTGAAAATAATTAGAGATTTGATAGCTGCCACATAAAAACCAAGTACCTTCTGCCACTGAACAAAGTGTCCATCGACACGGAAGCTAGGACCTTCAGGTTGAACAATATGAAGTGGCTTCACATCACTTCGATCAACCCCGCCTCTGGTTTCCCCAGGAGTGTAATTTCTTAAAGGATCAACTGGGGGTAGGGGAACCAACTTACGATCTTCAAACTCTACAACAACCATATTTTGCATATCAACGAGGATGTAAATTCCTTCTACTGGACGTGCATAACCATTTTCCATCGGGCAATCACTCTCAGTTCTACAGAAAATAAGCGGTTTTGCAAGTCTGCGTGTAGGTGCGTCAGTCTCACTGTGATAACCAACACACCTAAACAAGAAGGGAAAATTAGAAGTAGACTATTAGGCAAACACGGCTTGCAAGCTAAAAAATGCATCGGGTGAAGAGAATTGCCAAAAAACTTACCAGGCATCAACCATCACAAGATCCATATCCGCAATGCCCCTCTTTCTCATTGCATCCCGAAAAGGAAGGAAATCCTTTACAACGGCTTCACATTCAGCATATTCTGCAGCATCCTGAAATTAACCAAAACCATGAATAGCATAAAAAGCATATGAATGCAACAATTCTCATGCATTTATTTGTGTGTGAGCTACTGTTAATTGATTTGTCAACTTAATTTGATTTGGCAATGTAGATTGTATAAACTCATACTGAAGAGGACATCAAATCCTGTTTTACTTGATGCAATATAAGGAATACATGTATGGAGTACAGAAATGAATATAAATATTTGTAAGCACTATAAATCTTAGGGGATGTGTGTGTGGCACTAAGTCTAGTACATTACGTACATAAATACTAGTAACTAAAAAAGAAAAAGGTGGTAGGATACATCCAACTCATTTGCATTACAGCAGAACTAGTAAACACATTTTGACATAAAATGTTGCATACCATTGATGGCTGTACGTCAGGCACAACCTTTGACGAAATAACTTTACCCCTGTGGTGGCCACCCCTAGTTACAGCATGTACTTCAGAGAGTTCAACAATCCAGATGCTAGTCTCATTTGACTTGTTATTGTAAACTATAAGTCTTGCCTGTCTTGGAGGAAGTTTACTGGGAATTACAGGTCCTTTTTTAGTTCTGGGTAGTAATGATGGCTGAAATGGAGGAAAGAAGTAGGCATCTGCTAATGCAACCACATTCTTATCAGGTTCCACCAAAGCAACTTCAACAAACCGCATGCTATCTCTGACCTAAACATTGTGATCAGGGCATAACAATATTTCCATGTCCAAACTTATTACAGAAAAATCAATAATTACATGTAAAACCAACCTCAGGAGTTGCTCCAGCTGCCCGGACTGTTGCCACGGCTACTGAGATCTCAGCAGCAGCTAAGGGATCCAATGGATGTCGGCTTTGAGCCCTCATCATGTTTGGTAGTCCTGAAGTACAATAACATTTACTATTAGCTTGCAGCACAAAAAAACATTATAAATACAGCAATACACCCAAAACTCATTATTAAGGGGAAAAAAGAGCAACGATAGTTGCACTGAGGTAGTGAGTTCTACTTCTTGAACACACCAACTACACTTTGATGATAAAATTAGAGCTGATTAGCTTAAACAATTATAGAAATGACATACTAGAATCAACTAGCTAAAAACAGATTAACAGACATATGATAATTAGTGATCTGCAATGTCAAAGGACAAAAAATTGGAACCAGTTATTTCCAACACGAGAGGAAGGGGATATACCACCTTACTGTTTTTTAAAAATAAATTAATTCCGTCAATAGACAAAAAAAATCAGATAAACCATTTAAAAAACGATTGATCATTATCTCATGAAAAGCATCAAAATGATCTCAGCACGCACAGTTTTGCGCGCGTGTGCCAACAATAAGACAGCACATACAATGCATGCATCTGAATAAGCAAGTACAGCTACAGAAAGAAAAAGTGAGAATCAGTTCTCGGAAATTCGACCAACACAGTCACACAGAGATGCAATATACGTACAGATGCGAATATATTATCAATTGTATGTAACAAACCACCACAGAACGTCTACCGGAACAAATACCTTTAGCAGAAGGTGGATTCGATGCAGGAGCGTTTTCATCGGAGTCGATCACGGTCGCCAGGGGAGAACCGGCGGCGCCGGCTTTGCGCTTGCTGATCTGGTGGTCGACAGGGGATGTCCATTCCTGCAAAACGTTGCCATCCGCGGCCGCGGGTGCAGCAACGATAGAGTCACTTCTGGATGTAAGCGCCGCCTTTTCCGGAGTTGAGGCCATTGCAATGGATTTGCGAGCTCACTGTAACCGCCGTAATACTGATCTCCGTAGAAATAGCAATACTTCTCCTCTGACATACAGCGAAGAATAGTGTATTGCTTTACACTTCCGCAAACCCACTCCCCTCCGCTCCTCCGCGGTGGCTCTTCGTCTCCGTCTCTCTCTCTCTAGTATTTTTACGGTGAAAAGAAGATTTTAGAGATTTGAAACGGAGAATCAGAGCAGTAGTGCACTACTGCAGTGAGTATAGTACAAATAAGTACGGTTTTGAGTTTCAAGCATGTATTATGGACCTCACATATATACGTAAATTATAAATTTATGGAATCCTCTAGAATCCTACCCTACGAGATAAAAATATCCCCAATAATAACGGGCAGAGTAGAAATATGGATAGTGGTAAATAGCGGTAATTGCTCCAACAAAGTGACATACAAGTATTTCATTTCACGTCTCCAATAATTTGGTAATTCTCCCCTCCTAAATTGATTTGTGAGTCAATATTTTTTTGTCAAATAAAGTAAAACTCTCAATATTGATGATTCATTTCGTTGTTAATAATTAAAATTTACATTAATAATTAAACTACATTAAAATCTATATAAAGATGCAAAATTCAAATCACGATATAATTTTGTTTTTGACTGTAAACTGGCATATTATATTAAATCAAACTCTCAGTACAATCACATAAAATGCGACCAATATAGTAACCCCTCTAACCCAAAATGACCAAAAGCTCAGCGACCTCCTCACTCCTAGATCAGACATAGAATAATTCACCCCAAAAAGAGCGAGACTAATCGCTGAAAATGTGAGAGATTCGAGGCTATTAGCAGCTGAATCAGCCTGATTGCCTTCATACATAAATCTATCCACTAAAACAAACAAAACATCAACCTACCCCCTTATTCATAGACCTAAAAATAACAAAACAAAAATAGTAAAACAATCTGGACTGAAAATAACTAAACAGTCTAAACATAACAAGTAAAACATTCTTCCAAACCATAATTGCACAGTTCCTCTATGGCTGCGGTTCAGGAGGGGGACGTATCATCATCTCTTCGTCTTCTTTCTCTAAAACCTGAATCTCAACTTCTCTGTGCCACATCAGCCACCTCTCTATTGCAAGCTGATCTTTGCCCTTCACATCCAACAAATAACCCATGCGGCCACCCACAGATTCGGGCAAAACAATCTCGCTAATCGCCCACCCAGTCGATTGGAATCCAAATTTGCCCTTATCTCCATACCCCAAATCACCATTGTTCCACCCGGATCAAATACAGCTGGTACAGCTTCCATCTCAATAATCAACAAAGCCAGAATAGCCAAAGCATGTAACACCGTCCCCAAGTGTATTTACTTTTAAGTGAATATTGTATTTTAACCTTATGGAATGGTTGACGAATTTACGAGGTTATGAATTTTTATTAATTTTGCCTGAATAATAAGTTCGCGCGTGGGGCCCGCACCGGGAGCGGGGGCCGCCCGATATTCCCGGGACCACATAAATTATTCATCTTGGTCTAGATAATATTTATATGGTGGTGGATAATTCTTTTGAACCATGGAAAGGTCTTGAGTTGACCGATTGGTCAAAAGAGGCCCAAATACCGGTATTGGCAATTTAACGGATAATAGCCCGAAATTGAATTTCGGAGACCTATAAATTAAAGTTGGGGAATGTATATTCACTATGAGAGTCATAATGATTGAGAACACATAATATATTTTATTTGACCCGATAAAATAAAATATATTTAAAACAGTCCAAAAAATACAACTTTCGGGACCAATTGTACACTTCGGAACAAAAGGGGTTGACCTCCCACATGTGTGGGGGCCAACCCACGAATTTTTCCATACAAAGGACAAGAGGTGGGCGGCTGGAAGGGAAAGGAGGAGGTGGGAGGTGTTGGGATTGATTAAGAAAGCATCAAAGGTACATTAATTGGACCCCCCATCCTTACTCATTGTATCAAAGAGACAAAAACCAACCTTCACCCACTCCCCCTCATTTTCCTGCGGCCTGCACCCTCCAAGCTAGAGCAAAGAAGTCCTCCATCTCCATTGTTGAAGAAAGCTCAACAAGGAAAGATCCCAAGAAAAAGAATTTAAGTGCTAAAAGTGTGAAGGTTAAGGTAATAACCTTATCATAACTTTTTCTATATGTTTCCCTTCAATCTTATGAGATATATATCATATGGAGGATCCTTGGGATTGTTCTACATGAAAAGAGTGTAGAATGATGGGTTGGAAAGTGGTTCTAAGTTCAAAAACGGATTTATAAGTCAAAACGACCGGTTCACCGGAAAATAACCTTTTGGGGTTATTTGTATTGATTAAGGTTTTATGATGTTAAAACCTTGTTAGGAACTTGATTAAAGTATCTTTGAGCTTCGCCGGAGTTTCGCCGGAGTTGGTCAAAGTTGGCCGGAGTTGGTCAAAGTTCACCGGAAATAGTCAAGTTCAACCGCGGAGCGTAGAACACGCTTAAGCTCACTTAAGGTGAGGATGACCGACTATATTGCTTATAATTATTGGGTTAATTTCATAAGATTACCTAAATGAATTATATGTGTTTGGCATGATTTATTTATAATATAACAAAATGCCTAAATGAGATTATTATTGTTTATAAGTAAAAGTGCATAATATACAAATTTATGAATAAATTGTGTATGATTATGTATTATGAATAAAATGGTATAATAGCGTGCAAACTATAAATGAATTGTGATAAATATACTTTTACCTCATGTAAGGAAGTCATGGAAGGATAAAAGTGATATTTTGATATTAGAACCAAGTTATACTTGAATGTGGAATTAAATTGAAATAGCCAAATTACTATGAAATTGCATTGGCTTATTAAGGTTAAATGACTAGTATAGAAATACTAGCCGGGGATGTTAGCATGAAAAGTGATAGAACAAATCCTAGGGGTTTGGATTGTGAATGATGTACCTTAAGTAGTCATATGAAATGTCTTAAGGTAGAAATGAGTAAACGCTAAGTTACCGTAGGAGTGGATCATGAAGGTTACTCATAGTAGAGGAACTCTAGGCATAGAGATTGCTTAGTGAATTAGTATCGTGACTAGAGGAAGCCTCGAGCACGATGAAGAATGACTGGAGGAAGCCTCCAGCATTCGTGTAGGACGACTAGAGGAAGCCTCTAGCGTAACGTAATGTGACTGGAGGAAGCCTCCAGCACAACGTATGTAAGGTGATTAGAGGAAGCCTCTAACACCAAGTGGAGTGACTAGAGTCAGCCTCTAGCACGACAAAACATGACTAGAGGAAGCCTCTAGCATGGTAAACTAATATAGATGGGTGTGGCTTGGAGTCACGGGGAAAGGGTTAAATGTTTCCAAAGTAAACATGGGCCTTCGGGCGATTACTTGACTATATATATAAAGTAAGTATACTTTCAAAAGAGGATAACCACGGGTTATGACCTATAATATAATAACATCCTAGATTGAGGGTCTTGGAAATTGAAACTTTGATTATACTTAGTATAGTTGTCATTGTACTTGTCAAATGCTTCCAAGTACTGACCTCCCCTTCACAGGGGAGGCCACCTCACAGTTTCAGGTAGAACTTGAAGGGTGCTACCATCACCGTTGCTTCGGGCGGATTATCAAGGAGAGGAGACGTGGTTCGTGCTTCCTCCGTTTCTGTTTTAAAACATTCAAATTAATGCTCATGGATACTATTTTCCGAATAATTATTTAGGGCTTGCACGCCCGTGTTTGCCACGTGTGGCTCGAATGCTTGTATTAATATTTCCGCTGCTTAATTAAATGATTTACATTGTGATTGTTTATGGATGTACTAATGTGAATGGTATTCAAGACGCCTTGTATAGTATGGATGAGTTGGACTGCGGTTGACTATTCGTACTGTACGGCGGGTTGTTGACGTGTCCGGGAAGGTCCGTGGCGTGACAAAGCAAGTAACGAAAAATCAAGCTTCACAACCTTGGGGGAATCTGTCGCGTGTTGTCGTTGCCCTGACGACCTGCTTAAATTTTGCCCGACGTTCGTGCTATTGAATCCCATCTCGCCAAGAAATAAACTATCGTGCGGATAAGTGCTGCTGCGATGATGCAACACGAATGAGGCAAAGCTGCAGAGTACTTCCTGTGGACGTACTACGAATGATGCTGCGAAATACTCCCTGTGAAATACTCCCTTCAGACTAAGAAAAGCCGCCGCACCAAATATCTAGGTTTCCCTAGCCGCCCGCCCCGTATGTGAGCTAGTATAAATCATGATATAATTAAAAACCGATTCTCTAATTAAGTGAATCAAATGAAACTCTGACCAAAAAATTGAACTTTGCAAATCCATTTGGAACAGAGGAGGTAGTGTGTTTTTGGACTGTTTTCAGTCTCAAACCAGACCAGACTTAAAAAGATAGACCAAATCAGAACAAATCTGACTTAAATAGACCAGACCAGATAAGCTTGGACAGTTGTAAAATATACAGAGGCCAGAAATTTTCCAGACCAGATTAGACCAATAAAAAAATCATGAAGAAAAAAAGCATGAAAGATTTCTGTACCCTCTACCACTGATAAAAAGGAATGTGTGCACCTTTTTTAACAACAGATGGATTATTTCTTTCCATGAATATCATATCGATAAAAAACAATTAAATCGAAAATATGAATACGTGAATGCAGAATTAATGACATATATTATCAACATCTGTTAAAGGAGCTAAGTACCTTGTGGTCTAATGGCATCACTGTGAAACTTTAGGATGTTGCAGGTTCAAATCTCATTCGAGTACAAGAATGTTGGCTGTACTATAATAGATTAGAAAGTTTTGCCCCAAAAAGAAAAAAAACTATTGAAGGAGATACAGAGAAAGTAAAAATTTGATACCTTCAACAAAGTGACATATATACTAGTATTTCATATCAGTCTCCTATAGTTTAATACGTCCTCCCTCTTAAAATGATTTGCAAAGTCAACATTTTTTGTTTAAAGTGAAAATCTCTATATTGATTGTTGAGGTTTATTCCTTCAACCCTCGGGTTCAACACGTAAGCCCAAGAGTTTCGAGTGGAGTGTATGAATAATTTAGCCCAACTAACAAGTTAAACGGATTAAGAAACAATAAGTAGCAAGTAAGAGTTTAGGTATTATTAATCAGTTAATATATAACTCCCCAATACAATACTTTCGCTAAGGCTCGTCGGTCGTTCATCTTACAAGGCAGTAGAAGAGCTGCGAGTAAGGATGCTATAAGCTAGAATGCTAGGAATAGTAAGTTGCCAACCCTTTACAATGAAATAAATGCTGCTATTTATACTACCAATGGGCAGCTGGCTATGCTGACGTGGAGGACTGTGAGTGGCTGCTGCTCCAACCACCAATCTCTAGCATTAAATGCGCTTCCCGCCAGGATCCGGGTTTCCCGCCTAATTAGTGGGGGCGTTCGTCCTGCTGGGGGGTGGACTGCTCTTGGTGATATCGCAAAGGGTATCGGGCCGTTCGTATACTGGTCCTTAGATGATTTGTAACATGGATTGGGCTAGCTCCAAATGTTAATGTCTTCTGGAAGCGACGTTCGTCGCTGATGTGATTGTCTGGTGGGTTGATCCTGAGACGTTCGTTGTCACTACACTAGTCGTGGGCCTGATCCACTATTGTATGTATGGATGCTCGTCGGGATGGGTCAGTAAGCCTAGGACATGGATCCGACGTTCGTCTGTACCATGTTTGCCTGTTAGCTTGATCCACCCAACGACCAGTCTGGACGTTCGTCCAACTGAGGGTGTAAATGGGCCGGCCCTCTGTTGGGCCATTAACCCAACATTGATAATTAGTTCAATTGGTCATTTGTTTTTTACAACTAATGATGTTATTGATGGTAAATATGACATTACATTGGGGAGGATGATATTGGACTTTGCACCAATTTTTAAAAACTTTGGCTTTGCAGCCTAACACATACCATTTTGTGAAGAAAAATTTCTAAATGAGGTGCAAAGTCAAAGGATTTTTAAGTGAAATGAGGTGTAAAATCAAAGTTTTTTCAAAATGGGATGCAAGGTCTAATATCACCAAGAAAATGAGGTGCAAAGTCAAATTCCCCATATTACATTTGTATTATTTTAATATTTGATTATTGAATTATCTTTCGAAAATGTTAATTATTTTTAAAATAAATTAAAAAGAAGTTTTAACTAAGACGAAAAAAGTTTATTTGTATTGTGGAATCAGAAAAGTGAAAAACTTTATCCAGGATGAAAAGCAAAAAATGACAAATTTCATTAACAACAAAATAAGAAAAACTGAACAAATGTATCATCAATATGAAATTATCAGTATCATAATGGACACATGAATGCTATCATTAGACGCACAATAATGGCGAGCATTTTGTGGACAACGAGTGTCCAACAAGGAGAATGTTTTGTACAGTTATATAGTGATATAACCTACTATTTCATCGTACTTATTCTAACTATTTATTTTAGCAACAATGATGTAGTCACTCTTATACCCACCTTATACCCACCATGTTTGTGGATGGTTTTTTTTGTCTGTGAACTCGGTTCATAGACAATATTTTGTTTGTGCAAAATATTGTCTGTGAGCCGGGGTTCACAGACAAAAAAACACTTCACAAACATTGGTGGGAATAAGAGTGGGTATAGGACTAGGACTGGGTCGACTGGCTCGGTGCCTGGCCCGAACCTGTAATGTGTAGTAATGGCCCGGCCCGCCGACCGGGACTGGGACTGGTCCACTGGGCATGAATTGTGGGGCTTTATAGGCGGGCTACGGGTGTGGAAAATGGATGACCGGACCAGCCGGTTTGGGACTGATCCACACCAATTTTTTTTTGGGTTTGGGCCTCTGCTAGGTGGGTTGGGCTGAATGTTTTGGCGGGGTTTGGGGGTGCGGGGGTGTGTGGAATAAATTAGAAAAGCAAAAAAAATTAAATTAAATGACCCGGCACGGACCGATCCTGGTAGAATCCCGGGCTGGTACCGGGCCAGCAGGCCATAAACCCAAAATATTTGTCCCGGTTCTGACCGGCCCAGAGACCGGCCCGATCCATGCCTAGTTATTATATTCTTAAATCCCGAATTCCCGACCATTCGGACCATAGCTTGTAAATCTGAAGACTTGAATCATGATAAATGAAAAAGGGTGAATTCCTATATTTTTCAATGAAGCCATCTAATATCCTCCGGGGGCCTCTAATGGTTTCATCTTGGTAGCGGTGTGTAGATGTGTACCATAGAAGCGGTGTGTAGTATGTACTATGTACCACAGACAAGGTAAACTATTTAGGTTCGTAAATTGTTTAATTAGTTTTTCAATGGTGTACTTGAGTTGTATTTACTTGAATTAAACTTTTCTAGTCTATTCTGATGTGCTTTGGTATGGTCTGGTAATCTGGTATATGTATGATTTTATGTATCTTACAACTATCGAATTTTGGTCCCATTTGATCTATTAAAATTTGGTTTGAAGTAAGTCTCAAACTGTTATTCATTTTTTATTAGGCATGGGATCTCGCGCACTGCTTATATGAAGTGCTAGTGACTTAGTGAAACTAAGAGCTCGTTTGGTAATACCAAATCGGTTGCATTGGTTGATTCTGCTGAAATTTTTAAAGTTTTGACTGAAGTCGCCAGATTGACTGAATCTGTTGATTTATGAAAAATTATATTTAAAACATACGAGTATATTATTATTAAAATAAAGTAAACATTATATGAAAAACAACTAAAATTATTTTCTAAAGTAAATTCAGCCAATATACTCATAAAAGTAAGTAACTATAACTTTACTTTTCCTTATTAGTACACAATTCAATGCGCAATATCAAAAGTTACGTATTTGGTAGAAAATTTGGTTGATAAGCCTGATAAATCAAAAAACACAATCACCGAACAGACTCTAATACTTAGCAATCAAGGAAGTACTAACAATCCACATTAACAAGATCATGTGGTTTATACGTATGTAAAATTTTCTAATTTCCTTAATTCTACTTATAATCCCAAACTCAACAATTTTCAATCCTTATTTTCTTTCATACTCCGTACTACGTATCTCTTTCTCCCTAAACTGTTCACACTCCCCTTTGCATTTTACTCCGTATATGGTTCATTTAATTAATGTTTCTGTCCAATTAGTCTTTGCACCGTTGGTTTGTGAGTATTAATTTACTACGGTTTCTACTGAGGTGTGGCAATCATCCATATACTTAGCTAACAAGTTGATAGTTGATGCTACGCGTTTTTGTTTAAAAATAGAACTCCGCTGTGATTTTCCTAAAATACGATTAATTTGGGATTTATTCTCTTTAATCGAATTAATTAGTTTGTGTTTTGAAAATGTAATGATTTTTCTTGGATACGATCAAAAAAAAGTTTTTCCTTGGATAAAATATTGTGATCTGGCTTGAACTGGTCCGGTCCGACAAATATTTGGTCTATATATATTTTATAATCATCCGAATCCGATCTAGTACGATCTGCTTAAACCTGGCTAGTCTGATTTGGGATTTAAACCAACCCAACAAAAAGCATTCTGAAACACAAATACTTCTATTTGTGTACTTTGTCTATAACTTTGTACGATAAGTTTGGTAATAATCAAAAGGGAGAATTCCTCAAATGGGACTAAATGGAACTTAAAAATTCTCACGGGAGAGAGGAGCGGCGAAGGGAAACCCTAGCCTCCTCCTCCTCTTCCTTCCCGCTTCTCTTCTTTTGACTTCAATCATGGAAAAAGTTTCGTTTAATCAGTATTTTCAGTTCTATCTACACGTTTATTTCCTAGTGTTGTCTAGAGACATTATTTTCGGTGGTGAAGTGTCGCTCGCCATATCTATATTTCCCGCCATCATCGGTCAGGTGTTCTTTTGTGCTAGTAAGAGATTTGTATTGGCTTCTTTATCAATCATGAATCAGGATTTCTTCTGCATTGATGTAGAGGCCGATCGCCCCCCTCTTGAACCACCGACGATCCAGGAAGATGACATTGGATGGATTGCTTTCTTTCCGGTGACTGGTCAAACCAGAACAATTTCTGCCGCACATGGCTCCTTACCGGTGGCTAGAAAAAACGGCAAGTTCAAAAATTCCTTTTTGGTGGCTGGTCAAGCCGAACCCATTTCGAGTAGCATGAGCAGACACACTGCGGTACGAGTCTACATTGTTGCAGGGTTAGCGAACATGAGTGCTTTTATATGGCGTGTCTGTTCTTTGTCTCACCCTAGTGTAGTATTGAACGCTATGATTGTAATGCTTCGACTTTTAGTTGTTATGTTTCTTGTTAAGATCTGATTATCAATAAAATGGTTATTTAATTTAAAAAAAAAAACTTAAAAATTCTCAAATAGGACTAACTTTCCAATTCTACCCTTTCTTTGTTTTAATACAATTCATATTTCATTAATAATTACTCCCTCCGTCCCTTATAACTTTGCCAACTTTCCTTTTTTGGATGTCCCATTAACTTTGCCACTTTCCCTTTTAAGTAAAGAATTTGTGGTTCCAGTTAATTCTCTCTCTTCTGCACAAATCTCAACCACACAGTTTTTACTTTATTAATCCCCGTGCCGGTCAAACTTGGCAAAGTTATTAGGGACGGAGGGAGTAGAATATAAAAGTAATAACATAATTTTATTTATAATAAAAATGTAAAAAAATAAAAAATACGAAATAAATATTAAATAAACTTAATAAAAATCGGAAAAAATATAAAATAAAAAACTTAAAAAATTAAAATAAAATAAATCATCATCATCACCTCAGTGCCGCAAAGGCTCCCACCTAAAAAATGGCAGTTTATCACAAAATGTCATTTTTTAGCCGAACCGGTGTAACTTGGCTGGGCAGTAGCCCAGACCGTGGGAGAGCCCCCCATATTTTTTAATATATATTTTTAAGGTGTTTTATCTATTTTTTATTTTATTTTTTTGAAATTTTTTTGAAGAATAATTTTTTAATTTTTATTAGTTTAGCATTTAAAAAAAATAGATTTTTTTAATAATTTTTTACCATTTTTTTATGATTTAAATTATTTTTTTTATTGTTTTTGTGTGTTTATTACAAATAAAATATGATTATCCTATTAAGTTATGATAAGGGTATAATAGGTAGACAGGGTATACTTTAGTCCTATTTTGGGAAGATAAATAATATGGTCCTATTTGTGCATTAAGGGATTAGTCTAGTCCTATTCAGGGCTATTAACTCATAATCAAAACTAGTAAGGCTAAACTAACTTTTTTGACTGAATTGGCTGAATTTGGTGAAGAGGTCTGAACTGGTCCGATTTGAATTAACTAAACTAACCTATTTCTATTACCATGTTAGTAAAATTTGTTTTAAACACTACCCCGTCCCGACCAAATAGTGTCATTAAAATTAAAATTACACAGTTGTTTAGACAATAATTACACAATAATTAGAATAATTTGAATATATTTTATCAAATAGTTTGACATGTATATAATATATAATATAATATAATAGGAAATTGATGATAGTCGTGACATGATGGTGGATTGTTTATAATATATGATTATCAAATTACGGAGTATCATTTGAGGGTGTTAATTATTTTATAAAATATAAACGATATCTTTTAAATGACACGTACTCCCTCTGTATCATTGTATGTGTCATCACATGTTTCTTTTCGCTCCATATCAAATTAATCATCATGTTTTCATTTTCGAAAATAAATCTATTCCAAAGTAAATACAATATGCTTTAATAAAGTATACATCTCGTAGGTTTCAGGTTCGAAACTTAATTGAGCGAGAGTTTAACCTCTAATTACTCCAGGCCCCCAGCCTCATTCCCCCAGACGTCCCCTGGAGTAAAAAAACAGGTATACAACTCATACATTTGAATAAGACTACATAAAGAAATAATTACATAAATGTGACCAAAATAAAGATGATTTACAAAAATATGACTAGTGACTATAGTAGTAATGAAATCATGGTAATTCATGTTCAAATTTTGAACTTAAATTACCACAACACCACATTGTAGTGATGAATAGTCATATTTATGTAAATATGTTTTATTTTAGTAATATTCTTGTAAAAGAAACTACACAAACCGTAGAGAAAAATTACTCCGTATAACATTATCCGAGTACCAGTTATTCTACTCCGTAGAAAGCTTGTGTTGATTGATTAACCCTGATTCAATCTCCAAAATTTGATGAATATTAGGGCCTGTTTACTAATGATATTTTTCAATTTTCTGTTTTGTTTTTCGTTGCCTATTTTTTGTTTTTTCATTTTTCATGTTTTCTATCTCCGATTTTTTGTATTCATTTTTTAGTTTTCGATTTTCAAATCTGAAAACGTGTTCATACAAATTTTCACTCGGTTCTGTGACCGATCAAAAGACAGCAAGTGCGGTCCCAGTCCGGAACTGAACCTAGTACAATCCAAACAGGGTACTGGGTCTCACGTATAGGAAAGTCGGGACTGAAACCGGCTAGTTCTAATCGATCTCAGCAGTTGATTTGATGAATTCTTTTCCCATTTATCAATTATTAGGCAACTCAACCGTTCTTTTAAAACTCTTCATTGTAAACAGTGATTTCCAAAAATCGAGACTGGAACGGGATTGCTCGGCCATCGACCAGATCAAACATGGACCGTCGGGTCAACTGACCAGACCAGACTACTGGGTCATTCACCAGACCAGATAGGAATTGTCGGGTCGTTAACTGGACCGGACTAGATCTGACATCGGAGCAGGGTCGGATCCAACACTAGGCATAAGTGTGCAAATTCATTGCAGCGACACTGCAGCATCTGCGTTTTTGAAATTTGGAAAACTTATAAAAGTCAGTTCTCCAATTCATTAAGAAAAACAGAGACATATCTCATTTTTTGGTTCTGAAAAATGATATGATAACGCAACTTTATGTTTTCCTTTCTCCAATTTTACAACAATTTTGTGTTTTCCAGTTAAAAAATTCTTAGTGTATACGTTCTTATACACACTAGTACACCTCCGTGTCAGTGATTTTTTTTGTCTGTGAATGCCAGTTCACAGACAAAACCGGCTTGTTTTGTCTGTGGAAAGTTCTACAGACAAAATAAGCCAGTTTTTGTCTGTCGATTGGGATTCACAGACAAAAAATAACTCTCACAGACACGAAGGTGTACTGATGTGTATAAGAACGTGTACAAAAGTAATTTTTCTTTCTAGTTTTCTAGTTTCAACGGTAAACCCATGACCGATGATCCCTAATGAATTTTGGTGGGCGTAGCTCAACTGGTAGCCATGGAGTGCCACAAGGGTTAGATTTCGGGTTCGAATCCCGGCAACTGCGTTGAAAGGTTACTATGCTGAAAAATGCATAGGGCCTCTGCAAGTACCGGGGACAGAGCCTCACTCTCTATTTTTTAGATTGTGATTATAGTCCAATTTACATCTTTCCATCGTGTCGTTCGGTCGGTGTTGGGACCCTTAGAAATGTCATCCTTTTTTCTCTAATGAATTTTGGAGTTGGAGCACCGAGTCAAATCACGTCTGCGTAGTCATGTTGTATTTTTGCTCAAACGTCTCTTTCACGACAGGAGCCCACCAGTCCAACCACACTCTAGTGGATGTATTCTTAAATGTCCTTTTCACCTTTTCTATTATTTGCACTGATTCTCAGCCATTCAAACCTACGGACTAACTAAAGCCTACCCAACCAAACACTTCAGTATGATTCATGGATAGCTGGGCTATAGTATAGGGTGATCTTTTTTTTTTGGATGAAATGTAAATTTGTATTAACACCCAAACAAAACTATACATCACATGTCCTAGATCTCCTAAAAATCTCCTCCACCCCCACATAAAGTGGGGGTGAAAGGAGGTTTTTGTTTGATCTAATCTATGCCCAAAAAACCAAGTATAGTACTTGGCCCATCAAGAGGTTCAGAAAAATACATCAGAGCTGCAAGAGCACGCTCACAGATCAGAGGCTAAAATTCAAAGAAATACAAAGGTGTTGCAAGAGGCAAACACCCCAAAAATATAGAGGTTCCGGTTAATGCCGTGGCATAAATAGGACCCATGCCAGCCTCTTCTAAGTATCAATTCCAGTCACGGACACTGCCCCATGGCACAGCCTCCAAATTATCCCTGTCAAAAAGTTCCACCGGTCGCGACATCGACCATGTCTATGCCGCGGCATAATTAACAAGACCTCTAGAATGTCCATGTACCAAGTCTTGGAATCAAAAATTAATCAAGTCATGTGGGTATATGTTGTAAAGTACTTTATATACCACATACTTGACCTTCACAACGACCTCCTCCTCTTTAATGTCTTTCTCATCAAATCTGTTTACGTTTCTAGCGTGCCATAAGTAGTACACCGTTGCACAAAACGCAATCCGGACAGCCTTCCCCTTTAATTTTGCGCCCTTGTGGTCTTTCAAGATCCATTTGACCGAGCTCGTGAGCGTTGACATCTCGCGCGTCAATCCCAACCATTCTTTAATTCTCTCCCAAACCCTACAAGTGTAAGAACAAACAAAGAAGAGGTGTGGCATTGTTTCCAAGCCACCCTTGCAAAGGTCACATCGATTAACTATATGTAGGTAACCGAGGTTATCCTGCGTAGGTAATCGATTCCTCAAGGCAAGCCAAACATTAAAAGAGAATTTGGGAGGAACGTAAGATTTCCAAATAAAGCTCATCCATACTTTCGGTGTTCCCTTTACTCTCAACAACTCATAGATTTTACCCGTCAAGAGTTTACCATTTTCGGATCTAGATTTCAAACCCATCAAAGCATCATTTAGGTTATTAAAACAACTCAAAATTCGGTCACGGATGTGACTCAATTTCTTAATGAAAATCGAGTCACGATTGTGCGGGATAAAATCCCACACACTCCTACCCTGAAGGTAAACTCCATTGACCCACCTTACCCAAAGCGTATCCTTCTTCCTATGGACATCCCAAAGCGTACGAGAGAGAAGAGCATAGTTCCAAATTTTTGCATTATGAATGCCTAGTCCCCCCTCCTCTTTTGGAAGACAAATGTCATCCCAAGCTACTTTAGAGAATTTTCCACCCCATAAGAAGACCCTACATATAGAGACTATCCTATCCAAGATAGTTTGGGGCACCGGAAACACTTGGAGCCAAAAAGATTGGACCCCTTGGATCACCGATCTAATCAACTCAAGCTTACCGGCATAGGACAAGGTTTTTGTGTTCCAAGCTTTTAAAAAATCGGAAATGGTATCAATCAATGGCGCATATTGGGCAACCGATATTTTTAAAGGGGCAAGAGGGATTCCAAGATATTTAACCGG